AGAGCATGCACATGGCTAAGACTGTGGCGATGTGCATTACGGATGTGCTTCGCCCAGCCTACAGGTGGCTCAAAATTGATGAACTTGACATGTTGTACTGGACAATGCTCGATCCCCGGTTTGGGTTTGACCAACCTGGAACAAAGTGCGGGGAAAGTCTGGCTTCTCCGCCTTTGCTTTGCTTTGCGTTCGCTACGCTCTTTGTCGTGCGCATTGCGTGGCGTGGGGCAAGCTATTGAAGAGTGGTAACTCAAAGGCTGCTCTACAAGACTGTACGCATGTACATCCCAAAGATCGGCAGTGCCTCGAACCTACTGCTTAACAGACACACATGGCTGTGGGTCAAAAATAAGCACCCCAAATAGAACCTGGTAAATGGAAACATGGACTAAAACCTGCGGTCCCCTGGTGGTTTAATTTTGACCCATACCCACATTTCAGCAAGCCAGAAAAGCCGCCTGGTATCAGCTTCAAAGCCGCCTGGGTCGTGTCCCCCTCTGGAACTTGGGGCAGCAGGTTACGTGAACGGATGCGGATTTTGATTTGCAGTTTGAAGCCAGTTTGAAGCCATTTACCTTGCTACGTTTCATCAACGTTACCAGCTACCTGGGTTAGCAACTTCGAATGACTACTAACAGCGGCGCTCATCACCGATTTCTCTGTGTGTGGGTTTCTGTGCTGGGGCCTGTGGGATACTATGAATGAAGACCCAAATGCTGCAAATGAAGATGGACCAGTCTCTCACATGCTGAGCGGGTCTGATACGATTCGTGCTCATGAAAAGTACGCATCCCCAGCATTGCAAGTGCCTAACGTCATGTTGAGTACATCCCTAGGATGTCCCAGCGTCATTGGGGTCGACGCATTTGGGACCTTTCTGTCTCAAGCGAACTCCTCGCCAGGTCTAGAAATTCGCATCACTCGAAGAGGCCTGGCGTGGGGGAATTGGGCAGGTTGGGGGTTTGCAAAGGATGGAGCAGTCTAAGGCATATGCAAATTTTGTCGTGTGTAGATTTGAGAGATTCCTTGGCGGCATGTCTCACTATGCATTCAAATTTCGGGGGCAGGGATGAGCCCCCAAAAGCAGAGCAGAGCGTTTGAGGAGTCCCCAGCTTCCACGAGTCCCCCTCTCCACGCATCGCAGCTTCCAATCCCTGTAGGTCTCCAGGGAAGCCTTGCACCAGCCAAAGGCAAAGGGGTGCCAAATCCAAAGAAGCCCCTAAATTGGGTTCCTCCAATTTTGGAACCCATCTAATTTAATCAATATCTGTTATCTTGGGAGCCACTGGAGCCATTGCACACCAAGTGTGTGTGTTTTTGGCCCAGTGAAAGAAAGTCGTGAATCATAGATCATGAGTTGAAGCTCTCTTTCTCTTTCAATTTCTCTTTCTCTCTCTCTGTCTCTCTCTCTCTCTCTCTCTCTCTCTCTCGCTCTCTCTCTCTCTCTCTCTCGCCTCACTATTTTTGTTCCACTCTTTCTCTCTTTCTCTCTCTCTCTCTCTCTCTCCTCACCATGTGTTCCACTGTTTGACTACCTGAAGGGGAAATTGTGTTAACCCATGCCGGCCAAAGGGTGAAATGGGTGTGGGTCAAAAACAGGTACACATTTCAAATGGAACCCTGGTAAATGAAAAAAACAACAACGGAAAAACCTGCGGTCCATTGGTGGTTTCATTTTGACCCATGCCCTCAATGAGGCACATTCACATGTACACTGTTGATCAATCAAGAAGGTACGACATGTGAACCACAATCAAAACCCGGGTAGATGAAGGTTAGTAAGGGACGATCCCAACCATAAATAGCTGCGGATATCCGCCTTCTTAATCCTGTACATGGTTCTGGGATTACGACCATTTGAGTACCAGGTTTTGAGCAAGCGACTCATGTTTGCTTGGAAGCAATTTGTCATTGGGATCCTTCAGGCAGGCGGGCAGTGACCTGGTGGACTCCTGGGCGGCCGCGGAGATGTTACAGCTCAACGGGGAGGACGTGGGATTTTTTTCAAAACACACACATGTGCGTGTGTGTATATATATATATGTGTATACATATGTATTATGTATTAATATATATATATATATGTACATGTGCATATACATATATATTAACATATAATAACATATATATGTACATATATATACAATATATACATATGGACACCCCCCCAGGGCCTACCTATCCTCTCTTCTAGTTGAAGGTGTCAACTCTAGACATATGTATGAATATATGCGTACATGTGTATATACGAAAACATTTTATGTGTCCAGCTCTATGTCCTTCCTTTTTAAACATCATCTTTTTGGGCCAAAGGCGAGTGTCCCTCGGGGATGGTGTTTTAAGGGGACGTATAGGGAGCCCTGATCCGTCGGTTTGTCTGTTGGGTTCGAATGTGGGGAGGAATCCCCTAGCGGGTTTTTTCCTCTCCAACCCACAGATAAGCAAGGGGGCTCACATATCAAATAGTTCCTTGGCTTTGTGGGACCCAAGTAGCCCTCGCAAAAAATGGGGCGACGACTCGACGACTTTTGCCAGCGGGTTGCAGAGGGGGAACAAGCGGCTCCCAGGCTGTTCTTTTCAGCCATTTAAATTAAATGATTTCCAGTAAACAAGAGCAGAGAGCGATGGACACGCGTCAATGTGTGCGTCGTAAGTTGCACCCACTCATGTGAGCAACACACACACACACATTTGTTCTGAGATGAGTTCATTGTAGTCCCCTGTTGGTTTTGAAGACTGAGAATGAACCTGGACATGAACTCTGTATTTGACGGTTCATGCAGCAATTCAATTGCCCTACTGAGCTTGAGCCAGGACCAAATCATGGGACGCTTTGACACCATCATCGGTGTGCTGGTTCTTCTGATGCTTGGATATGAGTAGAGGCGCTCACTTTACAGTTTGGAGAGTTTGCTGGTGTTGGGATGTGTCCAAACTAGGAACGCTTGGACAAAGTTAATCATCAAATTGGCATGAAGCCTATCATTTAGAAAATCCAACCGGTTTTGCAACAAAGCCAAGTCTGTTCAACGTTGATTCGAGGTCTTGAGTGGAAAGTGGGATTAACTGGCGGCCAAAAAGAACGGTGCTGCACCCGGTCCGCGTGTCAAACTGGGACAATGAGACGCGTTAGCGCATCCAATGACAGTGTTCATTCCTTGGTTCGAGAGTTACCCTCTTTTCTTGTCCGTCATGGACAGGAAGACGAACGACTGCCGTCTGGAGAAAGGCCAAGGTTCGCTTTGATTGATTGACAAGGGGTGCATGTTGGCATTGAGCCAGGCAACCTCTGAGAATACCACAGATTGTAGTGAAATTGGTGGACCATGCAACAATGCAGGAACATGAGGGGGAGACCGCACGTCCCTTGCAAGGCCAGAAGCAAAGATTTGGAAATGGCTGATCGGGAAAGAAAGGGCGCTTTTTAGCCGTTTGGAGGGCGTCCTTGCTCATGGCTTAAGAGAAAACACGGGAAAACCGGGGGCTTCCGGATTTCGAGTCGATGAGGAATGCCACCGCGATGGCTGTGAACTTGGAGTGCTTGGGCGCGCAGTCTGCAGCAACTTGGAGTCGAGTGTTGCACTGGGTACAACACTGAATCTGGGAAGTGGGTCACAAACCGTGTCCCACAAAACTCGTCGTTGTCCTTTTGGTTTGCCTTTCAATTTCACCCCATGGCACCCCCTTTGAGAGAGGTGATTTGCGAGGTGCTTTCTCACAGGTTCTACTGGGAGGGGAAGTCTCCCACCAACGGAGGGTTCTCTTTCTTTTTCCCCAACTGCTGAAAGCTTTGGGGTCAATGAGCCCAGATAGGCCCTGGGGTGGTCCGAGGTAAGGTTTCACGAGGGTTCCACCACAGTTCCACCAGGGTTCCAGGAGGGTTCCACGAGGTTCTGCGAGGGCTGCGGGGTGGTGGGAGCACGAAAAAGAGCACCCCACGCTGGGGATATCACCTGAGCTTATTTTTTTTTGCCGGGGGGGCTTGGACCAATTCCCGAAAGCATGAGAGTCATTACAAGGTGTCATTGCAAGGAATCAGCATCATGAAAGTCATTGCAAGCAGTCATTGCAAGGAGTCATTGCAAGGAGTCATTGCAAGGAATCATCATCATGAAAGTCATTGCAAGGAGTCATTGCAAGGAGTCATTGCAAGGAGTCATTGCAAGGAGTCATTGCAAGGAGTCATTGCAAGGAGTCATTGCAAGGAGTCATTGCAAGGAGTCATTGCAAGGAGTCATTGCAAGGAGTCATTGCAAGGAGTCATTGCAAGGAGTCATTGCAAGGAGTCATTGCAAGGAGTCATTGCAAGGAGTCATTGCAAGCAAGGAGTCATTGCAAGGAGTCATTGCAAGGATCATTGCAAGGAGTCATTGCAAGGAGTCATTGCAAGGAGTCATTGGATCATTGCAAAAGGAATCATGCAAGGAGTCATGGCACAAGTCATTGGCACAACTTACATTGCACTTGCTTACAGCACTCTTCCATGCACTTTACAACAACTTGACTCCATGCACTTGCACTTGCACTTGACTCCATGCACTTGGCTCCTTGCACTTGGCTCCTTGCACTTGGCCCTTTGCCACTTGCAACTTGCACTTAACTCCGTGCACTTGCGACTTGCACTTGACTCCATGCACTTGGCTCCTTGCAACTTGCAATGGCTCTCATGACTCCTTGCAATGACTCCTTGCAATGACTCCTTGCAATGACTCTTGAAATCCTAAGCAAGGAGTCAAGTGCAAGTTGCAAGTGCAAGGAGTCAATGCAATTGACTTGCGAGGAGTTAAAATCTCTTCTTAGGGCGGCGGGGTAGTGCCGACGACACTACACGAAAATCGACCCTCTGCGGGGATCGGCGTGGTCGAGGTGCAAAAACCCATGGTTTTTTGCGATTTCTAACCTGCTCGCGCGACCCTCTGCGGGGATCGGCGTGGTCGAGGTGCAAAAACCCATGGTTTTTTTTGCGATTTCTGCGGTGCTCGCGCGACCCTCTGCGGGGATCGGCGTGGTCGAGGTGCAAAAACCCATGGTTTTTTTGCGATTTTTAACATGCTCGCGCGACCCTCTGCGGGGATCGGCGTGGTCGAGGTGCAAAAACTCGAGGTTTTTTGCAATTTCTGCGGTGCTCGCGCAACCCTCTGCGGGAATCGGCGTGGTCGAGGTGCAAAAACTCGAGGTTTTTTGCGACTTTTGTTGTTCGAACTGGTCCTCGGGAGTTGTCTCGTGGTTCGCGCGCCTGCTCCCGGAACCGGCGGGTCGCGGGTTCGATTCCTCCCTGGTCCGCGGGCGGGCGTCGCAAGATGCAACTTGCATTTTAAAGCAACTTGCGCAGAGCAACTTGCGCAGAGCAAGTTGCACAGAGCAACTTGCGCAGACCAACTTGCACCGACCAGTTTGCGCAGAGCGCCTTGCCTAGAGCAACTTGCGCAGAGCAACTTGCGCAGAGCAACTTGCGCAGAGCAACTTGCACAGAGCAACTTGCACAGAGCACCTTGCCTGGCGCTGTCTCGCGCTTGCTTCACGAATGCTTCGTGTAGGGAAAAAGAACGCATCCTGCAGCGTTGGGCCGACCTCGCTTGCGATGTTCTGCTTTCGGGCCAACCGTGGTCTAGTTTCAAGGCGCCAAAAAAAAAACCCAAGGGATTCCCAAGCAGGTCACGAGTTTTGACACCATGGATGTCGTCAGGCCTTCTGAAGGCCGCCATGGGACATGTTTCCATTTGTCCAGCCCCTTTTGCCCGAGCTCTTGGCGTAGAGTCTTGCTCCGGCAAAAAAGCCCCTCCCTTTTAAAGAAGCCGCGGAAGCCGCGGCCCAAATTGCGCCCCGTGTTTTTTGAATAAGGCCATGCAGACACAACTGCTTTTGTGAGTTTGGGAAAGGCCTATGTGCACAATCCCCAAATCCAGATCTAGAGACTGGCACTGAATCTGCCCAAAAAGGGGACAGAGAAAAAGGAGGGGGTCCATGACAACCCCCGTGATGCATTCCTCAGAACTAAATATGCGACATGATTGCCTGATTGGGAAACACATTTGTCCAAAAATATTCTGGCCCAGAGTTTTGATTCGGATGCAGGTTCAGCGCCTTCAACGTGTACGGTTTTTTTGGGTCATGCGCAGGACACGGAACATTTCGGGAAAGGACACAAAACAGTGTTGACAATCTGGCGGAGAACGCTCGTAAGGGTTAGCGGTTGTTTTGGTGGCATCCCTATGTCCTGCCTGTGTGGCTAACTGCAGGGTTTTCATGTTGACTTGGAGTATTATTTTGTGCTTGCGTCCGGTGCACTATGCTCGCATATGTTTGTTTATGTGACATTGTTTTGTGTGTTGCAGTGAAAGGCCTTGGATGTCGGCTCTCACTCAGGGCCTTCTTAGTAAGTTTTCTCACTGCCCACAACAGCATTAATCAGAAACTTGATCAACAAAGGATCCTCAGTTTGCAGTGTCATGGCATGTTATGACCTGGCAGCATGTTGTTTTCAAGCCTCCGATTTCTGACTGCGCCCTTGGAAGCATGGAGCCTGAATTAGGACGAAGGCCGGCCACAAATGTTGGGTTGAGAGCATCTCACCGCGTACGACCAGTTTCCTCTTCAAGGGACCTGATGGCTTCCATGCTGAGAGTGTTCTGGGAGCAAGACGTCGTGATGAGTGACGACCCAGGCCGGACTTGGCGTGAAGATCGACTTTCCTTGGTGCGCTTCTCAACCAGTGATGCAGGCAACTTGGCTCTGGCCGTTGGATCCAGATTTCTCCGCTGCAGAAGCTGAGTCCGACCAGATTGGAATGTTATAGCAAGAGAGCAGACACCAACCATTTCAACATGTGTGTGTGTGCGCGTGTGTTTGCTTGTGCTTGTGCGGAATTGTGTGCGTGCGTGTGTGCGTGCGGGCGGGCGGGCGGGCGTGTGCGTGTCTGTGATGACAGGCAATCATTGCTGCTAGCAGCAAGGAGCTCTCATTTTGACCGACAGTGACTCATTGTGATCATTAGTCACTAGTCCTTGATTGGCAGGTTTGAACAAGACAACCGCGTACTCAGCTGTCATCAGGCGAATGCAAGCTGCGCCAACTTCCATCGCATATTGAAAGGGCGCATCAGCGGTATTCAAACACAACATTCAACTAGCAGACGTTCACTCGCTCGCGGTACTAGCGGCAGGCATTCATTTATTTCCATTTGAGCAGCGTTTTTTTCTCAGATGATGGATTTTAGCTTCGTGGGGAACTCCAAAAAGCTCCGCGAAGGCACTTGTGCGATACATTGTGTACCGCGAAGCCCCGCGAAGCCACTTCGCGTAGCCCGGTAACATTGACACAGGCGAAGCCACTTCGCGAAGCCACTTCGTCGTTTGAGCGTATTGCGTGCTTTCATGGCAAGTGTGTGGTGCGCTTTCATGGCAGTAGTATTCCAAAGGTTGATGTTTAGAGTCAGCAGGCTACGACAAGATTACAGGAAGATTACGGGAAGACGACCGGAAGAGCACTGTGCGTTTCAGGCTCGGTTTTTCTAGAAACGATGGAACGTTTTCGCGAAGCCTCTGCGAAGCCCCCGCGAAGCCCCCGCGAAGCCTCCGCGGTCCAACTTCCATGCTCCGCCCCTTTGAGGCCCAGCCATGTCCCCTAGTCCTGAAGCTCAATGCCTCTCTTGCCGCCTTTCATCGAACCCTTTCGCATGGACTCAACTTGATTCAACAACATGGGGGCGCAAATGTGAGAGATGTTTGTGGAACAAACATCCGCGAAGCCCGGCGAAGCCACTCCGCGAAGCCACAGTCTTGCCGCGAAGCCTCGCGAAGCCAACCCTTCCACAAATTCTGGCCCCGCGAAGCCCCTCGCGTAGCCTCCCCAGCAGTGTATAAGCCCTGAACCTCTAAAAAAAACAATGCTCATTTGAAGGGATTAGGCATTCACTTATTTCCATTTGAAGGAGTTTCTGTCACGTTCTAAGCTCCAGCAATCATTTTATCATCGAGTGGCCGCTTGACGTTCATGCAGGGCACGTCTACCACGGGCACGTCTACCACCGGATGATTTGGGTTATTTTGGTACGGGCTCCTTAAAGATACATTTCGCCAATTTGAAACATGGCTTTTTCAACACCAAATTGAAGTTGGAAACCACCATTGACAAGTTGCAATGTTCAGGTGATTTTCATGTAAGGATCCCTGCAATACAAGGCTTTCCCGAGTGAGCGACGGACTGGAATCGAGTTATCAGCCCGCTTCGGGGCACCGGAGTTGCGGGAACCATTGAGGGGACTGAATTTCAGGGTTCCCTATGTATACCTTTATGATTTTAAACGTCACCTTTTTAGTCCTTTGAAAGCGGTTTTCCTTTGGTGGGTGATGTTTAAAGAGAATTATAGGGAGCCCTATGAATATAAACCAGCTCTTTGCCATTAATTTGCGGCTCGGACTTAATTTGCCACCCACAAAGTCATTTGAGCCTTGCAAGTGATCTGCAAGCCAAAGACATAACCCCTGCAAGTCACGCGCCCGGTGATTCCATTTCCTTGTGCAGTCGATATCTAAGGAACCCGTACTTCAAAGTTGGAAGGAACATGACTTGTACGAGTTTCTTGGATCCACACCAATTTGAGTTTGCGCAGCATGTCTTTTTTGCAAAGGTCATTGGAAGCAAAGCTCCCGGTTCTGAACGCCGGACTTTGATTTAGTGCATCCAGGATTCCCCGCCAGGTACTGGAGCATGTCTTTGTGGTAGCGTTTACGCTGGAGCTCATATATCGCGTCTACTGTGTCCGCTGGCTTCTCGGGCAAGAGATTTGGACATGTCAGGGACCATTTGTGTGTGTGGGCTCTCCTTCGAAGCCATGTTTGAGCAGGCTGTTTCTCCCACTTTCAGCGGCTATATTCGTCACAGCTCCAACAAAGAACCGATCGGCTGTCACTCATTTGGCTATGAATTTTCACGGGGAACCCCCTGAACAGTTTGTTTGGAGCTCAGCTTCACATGACTCAAACTTTATGTCACAAGAAGGGCTCGCCTAAAATGACTAGATCCTGTGAACCTTTCTGCGGAGCTGTTGTTTGATGGCGATTTATGCTAACCTCACAAGGGCCCAAAGCGAATCGACCTGAAATGACCTTTCGGTTTCGTCCCAAAAGGTTAAGCTGGGTCCTTTGGGAACTGAGTAGCTCATGGTGAGGAAGTTGCACTGTCCGATATTTGTTGATTTCGTGAGGCTTCTGTTAAGCACAGCTAATAGCGTGTTTCCTTTGCGCATTTGCCCCAGCGAAACTCCTGAGCTGCTGATAGGTATGGCTCAACTCACCAAGGGATACGTCTGAAAGAAGCCAACCGATCCCCGATTCTTGGAAAGCAACTCGGTCTCACTTTTGCGAGTCTTTTGCGGGGGCGTTTGCAAATACAAGCCATAGAGAGCGCGAGAGGGAGAGACAGAGAGAGAGAGAGAGAGAGAGACAGAGAGAGAGAGAGAGGGAGAGAGAGAGAGAGAGATAGAGAGAGCCAGAGCGCGTCATGGCCGGAACGAAAAACAGCAAACACAAATTCGCATTGGATGGACGAAATCTATAAAAAGCACCAGTCGGGATGGATGAAAGCCTATGAATACCGGGACAACCCATCTATCAAGTGGTGTAAAACTTTGTCCATGAACGGAATTCCATTCTTCAAGATAGAATCACTGGGGTTTACGCTGAGTGCCGCACGGATGCATAAGCTTGCAGAAGACCACCACAAGGAGATTAGTGTTCCATGTCAGATCCCGCCTGTCAGCCACCGCCGCATTTGCCTATGGTCTGAAACTGATCTTAATCCAATACATATATGCCTTCCCAACGCATGCCATTCCCAAGCACAGTTTTTTTGTTTTTCTTGGAGCAGCACTGACAGGTCAACCTTCTTACCCAAAAGGCGACCGCCCGTTTTTTAAGTTCACCAAGTGGCTCGCAATCCGAATTTCCGGGTAGCCGAGGCTGTACTTCAAGGACTATTGGAACCTCATGGACGCGAGCTTGGTGCTGCTGGCTGTCCTGGATTTGTACATCTTCACCCCACTCTTGGAGGACTCCGTCGCGAAAAACGCCGTGACCTTCAGAGTCTTCAGAGTGGTGAAGTTGGCGCCTGGGCAGCGAAGAACGCCCCCAGCAGGTGGCAAGCGCAGAGATTTGCATCCGCTTCCTGAGTTGTTTTTCGAATCAGCTTTTTGGCCGTGGCTCCAAAAACCGGGTAACCCCAAAATGGGTGGCCCTGGTATGTGGAAACATGGACCAACACCTGCGGTTTGCCCCTCTTGTTTAATTTTGAGCCACACCCATTTGGTTGGTTTAGTGGTTGGTTTAGCCAATTTCAGCCACAACTAAGACTCTGGGCTGGGGATCTGACAGCCTTTTGGTAGAGGAAATCCATGGCTACGGGATTTTCTTTCCAGGGGACTTTTGTTAGGATGCAGGTTTGAGGTTGGGACAAGGGGAGATGCTGGAGTTCGACATGGGAGTCTTCATGAGTCTCACAAAGTGTCGAAATGGACCCATAAGCGTGGTGCAGTGTCCCCACTTCAGGTAGACATGGGTAGGGTTCGGAGATTTTGAAAGGCCCAGAATAGCCCTTCGGGGAGTAGCCGAGTAGCCCGGTTTGGGGCATCCACGACCTTCAGTGCTAGAGAGCGATTTGTCCCAATGTGTTCCGCATGAGTGGCAAGCCACTCTGAGACTATGGTGTTCAGCTTGTAGAGAATGAGCTCCGGCCTTTTGAAAGTTACGGCTGAGTCATGTGGAGTTGCTCAGTTGGAATTCATACGCTCAGTATCACGTATAGAGCCGTATGGTTTTTTGTATACTTTGCCACGACTGTGTCAAACCCCTACCCCCCGATGCTCACTGTGGGGTGCCTGGTGCCTGAGACTCGCTTTTTTTGCAACTCCCGAGTCAATCAGTCCGAGACCTCTCCCACCCCAAGCCCGCCACGCAGAAACCGCCACTCTGAGGCGCGGGTCATTCGCATCGTCCGAGCTCTACGGCTTTTTCGAGGCGCCCGCGTTTGGACAATCCGAAAGAGCAAGACCTATGGCACATTGAGGCACAGGCACATGCTAGACAGGCACACAAACACGAGCACAAACACATATCCACGAACACAAACGAAGCATGGGTTTGCTTTTTTACAACCCCTGTATCAACACAGAGCTCACAGTTGGATAAGGCAGGCTTGTGCTTATCGCTCGTGTCCTCAGGCTTGCGGGTGTTGGTCCACGCGTGCTCCTCATTTCTTCCCTCATTGAGCTGGTCGATGGTTCTTCTTGGACTATGTATGCTGTCCAGCGGCCTGCTTATGGGCAATTTGTCAGGGCCTTAGCGATGGAACTACCTGACACGCCGCAAGGCGTGGTGTGGCTTACATGACTAATACCCGGCCGCGTTGCCCACGAGAGGTTGGCTTTGATGTGAGCATCCGCAACTAGTTGCTGTCCTTGACGGGAGTACCTGGGTAGGGCACACTCACGAAGTATCATTAGGAAACGGGGACTCATCAAAGTTTGCATGTCGATCGGGACGCAATGAATATTGACAGTGCCTCATGACCGTGGTGCTACTGCACCTACTGCACCTTGGCTTATGCGAGGGATCCTCAAAAATGCTTGTGGCGACCCGACTTGAGGTTGCAGGATTTCATCAACGATGAGTCCAAAGACATAGATCAGCGGATTTGGATGTGGCAGCATTATGGTACAGCATACAGAGCCATATACACCATGCTTCTTGGCTGCGACAATGCATGACAGCTGCGTTGTGTTTCCATAAATCCACAAAAGGTCCCGACTAGTGAAGAACAAGTCGTCAACATCAACCTTTTGCCCACTTGGTTTGCAGCTTGGCTTCATCGTCCGGGAAGTGGGAAAGTGCGTACAGCGCAGAGCCACAGAAAACACACCCAGGCACCCACGCACGCACCCGCGCGCGCGTACGCACACGCACACGCGCACTGTACACAACACGTGCATGCAAACTCACACACCGGCGCCCAACTGCCAACGCACACTCACCCACACACGCGCACACTGACACAGACGCAGACACAGACAAACACACAAATCGCAAAGGCGGACAGAATACAATCACGCAGACACGAACACTTCCCACCCCGATCCTCTAAAAGGGTTTGTATCAAACTACAAGGCAGAACATTGTTATGTGTTTTTGTCTTTTGTTACCATTGGTTTCCCTTTGCTGGCGGAATCCTACCCTTGAACCAGCGACGCACGCCCCACACGCACCCGCAAGCATGTTTGCAGGTATGAGATGACCTTCGCAGGCAGGATTTGGGAAGCAAATGTGGGAACACTTAGTGCCCCTGAGAGCGAGAAAGGCGATACCAAAGGTGCGAGGGCATAGCCGATGGTGGTTTCAGCATGCTTGGTTTTCCTCAAATTGAGCACTTGCTTTGGTTTGGTTTAAAGTGAGCCCAGATACAAACTATAACCATTTTTGGAAGCCGCCCATGTTTCGTTTCCGAATAGGGGGACCCGTAACATAGGTGGTTGCCGTTTGGTTTGTCTTGAAAAAGCTACCAAAGACCAAATCCCTTGAGCAAAAGCCGCAGTCACCTCAGTTGTCCCAGGGAATTGGCCCAACTATGCGCGCCCCGTGCTGGAGAATGTCAGTCATGTGTTCTCGATTTTCTATATTGTGCCCCTTGGCTGCATGGGAAGACCCATAAAAAGATCATGTCGCAAGTTGTTGGACTTGGCATCTATTGGGAGGGTCGTTTGGGTAGCACAAAGTTGTTTGACGCTTTTAAGGCGGTAGGTTGACTGGATATTTGCTGGGGCAGCGTGGTCCTTTTGAGGCAACCCCAGCCACAGCATACAAATACCCTATGATAAATGCTAGGTTCCTCTTAGATATATCCAAAGTTTGTTCCGAAAAGGGTTGCAACATGTACGACTTTGATTGAATTGACATTTTTGCGTGGCCTAGATGCAAGTCTAGCTGTGTTCCCTCAATTAACTACTGATTGGTTTCCTTTCAACATCCACTGGACAGGCCAGTCCGGGTTTTCAGTACGAAACACACGCGCACACACACACACACACGCATCAAGCTCAAGTAGTGTCAACTGTGACAAGCTCACTCTTTCTTATTCCCTGGCCTTGCCATGGAAGGACAAACACTTATTCCATCTAGCTGTATACCTTATATTTACGTACCCATGTTCTTTTGATAGGTGTATATATCAATGTATATACATACACTGCTTTTTCACTTAACGGCCACACCCGCCGCTCAACAGCTGGGCGACTTTGTGTTTCTTTTGCAGGCTTGCTGAAGAAACCAAGCTCAAGAGATCAGCAAAGCATCTGGTTGCGGCGCAAGTCCTTTTGCGCTTTGAGAGTTCCATTTCACACCTGCGAATACATGGGATGGCTGCTTGCAAGCGGCCGAAAGTGCCTCTTTCGCGAGGACTCTGTTCTGAAGCTTCGCTATTGGCGAATCATGATTCTGCCAGATTTGTTTCGTGAATCCGTGTTTCCATATTTCGAGCGGGCATGGGGTTCTCCGCCGAGGTATATCACCTTCATTGTGTTTGCCGCCAGAGCCTCAGGAGTTGAAGCGGGACCCCTTGTGGGTTTCAAGCAGGAAATCGGAGGCAAAACAAGAGGTCTATGAGTTCATGTTAGGAATGACAAAAAATCAGATGGGTACAGCTCAGTAGCGGACTTCCTTCGAAACTTGCTCATTCGTTATACCTGTGCTAATTGTAGTAGACCTGTGAAGTTGCAGTTCTTTGTATTTTGCAAAACAACATGTGAAACAACTGGAATTCAAACGGAACGCCACTAGGAAGCGGAAGCAATTTCGGAATAGTACCAACAGTCGACACCATGTTTTCTTTAATTTGGCCTTGGAGACCTGTGGATGAACAAAATCCATTTCGCACCACCTAAGACACCCTGGTGTCTGATGATTCCCTTGTAAATACCAACAAGCAGCGGTTTCAACCATGGTTTCAAAGCGGTGCGAAATAAATTTCGTCCATCCACAGTAGGAAACAGGACCCGAAGTTTGTTGGACGCGGAAAAACGCCCGCCCCTACGGTCAGGTGATCCGTGTGATCACGGCCATTTTCTTGCGCGAGACATTGGAAGCGGCCAACAATGACGCCGAGCTCATGGTCCCATGGTCCAGACATCAAACACCGTTTTTTTTTTTTTCTTTTTTTCTTCTGTTTTCCCCCTTTGCTTTTTTGTGGTCTTGTTTGTTTTTCCCTTGTGGCTTTGTGGTTTTTTTCCTGATCATTGTTTTGCTTTGTTTTGGTCCTCTTCTGACGTGTGCTGTGTGTTTCCTCGTTTGTTTTCGGTTTTGTTTGCGTTGATCCCATGAGCCTATGATCCAGTGGTCGCAGGGCGCTCATTCATTTGCTCTCCAGTTTTTGGTTGGTTGGTTCACCTGTTGCTTTTTGGTTTCCTCACAAAACCATGCCCTTGTCGAGTGTTTTGCTGTCGATCCAGGTGCAAGAAGGACTCCGGCGCAAGGCCACGTACATTCACAAGCTCGAAAGCACCTCGGCAATCGGGAAGCCAAGGGAAACCGCCATGTAACGGTCTCTTTGGTGCATTTTGCTTGGCTGTTAGGACTTTAACTGTTAGGCTGTTAGGCTGTTAGGCTGTTAGGCTGTTAGGCTGTTAGGACTAATGGGCTTTCCACTAAACCACTAAAAGTTAAACTTTTAGCAGGGGAGCAGAACAGCAACCGAGGTCTGATTTGAAGAATACCCACAATGTGCGGTTGGATGAGTTTTTGAATTTTGATGCGTTTGAGCTGGACTCCCATTTTGCAAAAAAAAGACACGGCTTATCTCAGAAGGCATGGGAACTGTGGCTCCCAAAGTGGGTGTTCCAATTTTTGGGATGAGTGAAGAGGGGACCAAAAGGACACCACCTGGATTTCTAACTTTGAGAAACTCCCATGTCGGTTTCACTCTCTCCATCAATGATGATAATGGACAGATTTGGTAGGTGTGCATCTTTTTTAGCGCACCACTGTTTGGGTCGGTTGAGAGGGAAACCACAGGGACGCCACCCATTTTGGGGTTTCAGGACACATGTTGGCCAGAACAAAAACGCTGATAGGAAGTCGCATCCTTTCATGAGGATGTTACATGCATGCCCGTAGTTAGGAGACAAACTCGGCAGAAACTTTGGATTTCTGAATGGAATGCCGGCAGCACCAAAACAAAAACTGGATTTCTGAATGGACTGCTGGCAGCACCTTTGTGGTCCGGATGGCGTGCGCTAGATGTCTCAAGGTCTCAAAGTGCCGAGGCATTTTCAATGCTGTGGATGAGAGCCAGGATGGCCTTCTCAGTGAGGAGGAGTTGTGTCTTGGTTTCATTCAGAAGGGGGCTGGGGGGCGAGGGAGGGGGAGCCCTAAATAAGGCCTTAGTAAGCCCTGAATAAGGCCTTAAAAAAGGGCTCCCTGCCCCTCCCCTCCCTCCCCAGCCCCCATGCGCCTTTGAATGCATCCCTGACTTGGGCAAACTTGAGCTACCGTAGCAGATGGCAAAATGACAATTCTCGGCGAAGATCTTGAAAGGCTCCTGGGGATTCCTGTGATCTTTGGCGCACTTTGAGCCCGAAAATTGGCGTGGGGTCCTCACAAACACGGTGCTGTGTTGTTGCTCGGATCCGCCTAGAACCACTTGCCACGTAAGGGCAGTGGGCGCCTTGGGTGTTTGCCAGGCCTTCGAGCGATAGCTTGAGAGAGTTGGTCTTGCTCTCCTGGGGCGGGGATCTTTTGACATATTCGTCAAATCAGGGAGACCCGCAATGGGTTCTACTTTTCCCTCCCAAATGGGGAAAACATAGAAAGGACCCGTGATGGATCGAACCAGCGTGGTGTAAGGCTGGTTTGAACCGCTGGTTGATGACATTTTTCCCCGTAGCATGGCGCCGACGAGCTCACACGATGGTGGGTAAACCAACCCACAATCTCTTTTACATCCGGTAACAAGGCGCCATTTTGGTGCGTTTTCTGAGCCACAGCCATATTAAGCCGCTTGAAATGTGGTCCAGGCAAAGGCTCAGGCGCGTTGCGCGGCTTCCCTGACCCATTTCTATGGAACGGGCGGATGCTGCGGCAGGGGCCCTTCAACCTTGCGCTTGTGCAGAAGCCAGCTGGGGTTTGATGGGTTTAGCGTGTGTGTTTTTGTTTCTGATTTTTAGGTGGAAGTCAGCGCTGCATCAAAGCTATCGAACCAGTGACACTCTTTGAGGTGTTCGTTTGTCCCAGTCTGATGCACCAGAGCAAACATGTTGCTTGTCTGGACTGTTGGCTTACTTTCCCTGGGCCTGGTTTGATCGTGGCATGTGCGCGCATTTGCGTTTGCTCCTTTTTGAGGAACGAATTGTTCAGAGACTCCCGAGTGATGACTTACCTGGAGACATTGGATATTGACGTGATGCAGTCTGAAGCTCTTTTCCACTTGCTGGCAAATGGCACCTTGGTTGCAATCGGAAGCCTGGCAACATGAAAATGCGAATCTTCATGGTTCTCGCTTCGCAACAAGTTAAGCGACTTGAGTGACAGCGAGTTCAAGCACCATCAACATGACTCAAACATGACTCTGTTGGGGCAATTCCTTAAGTTCGTTCCCTTGAGCATTAGCAGATTGTGCACCCAACGGCAAATGGTGTGCACGTGGTTTGCTTGCGGAATCTGTCAGATATGGGTATGAACATGAATCCCAGCTTTAGGTTTATCTCCAACTCTGCATTGAACCATTGAGTTGTGTACAACCAACCTGTATCCACCTCATGTCTAGGTATGGCACACGCCAGCTGCTTATCAATTGTTTGGCAGGGCACACGCGCAGACCACTGGCGAGCCAAGATGCAACAAGATGACTGTCAAGGTGTCTTGCCTTTCAATCGCAATATCTCCCCAGAAGTTAGAGAAAGCTGCTTCGAGGCACCACCAATGGCACTCATTGATTCTTACACGTTCGGCGATACTTGGATTCTACATGAATACATGAATACTGACGCACCTCGGCCTGGCACACCACATTCATCTAAATGGGAAATTTCTGTCAGAATCAGCTTGCACAGCGAGCTGGAAACAGTCCAAAGTCCATCTCAAAGTTTGGCGCTAGTTTCTGGGGTAGACTTAGGATACATTTTACATTTTACCAGTGACTCAAAGTGGCGCAAACAATAAAATATACATTTTATAGCTGGACCTAACTCTAATCATGGTTTGTTTTCTTGGACAGGCTTCAAAGACAATCACGGAGAGCTTCTAGCGCATTGACCAGGCTTGTTTGAACTGATGTCACCCTTCTCAGCGCAAGCTGCGAGATACCTCACTGCCGATTTTTCTGGAATGGGGCAGGAGAAGAGTTACATGACCAGATTCGATTCCGTTGTGACCTGCAAGGATGGATTCTGATTAGACCGGCGGCTGGCCTTGCTTCACCTATTTGACATCAAATTCCGCCCCGGATTCCTGTGACCTGACCCAGCCATTGCTCAGCTTTGGACCCACATCTCTGTTGACACCTCGGTCTCCCAGGGGCCGGTCAGATCACCTGCGCCGATTTCATCGATGGCATCTTGCGTTGCAAGGGCCCAGCGAGAGCGATCGACCAGCGCCATGGCTCAATTTCTGATTTGCTTTGTCTTTCCTTTTGTGGGCCCTGTCGAACCCCCCGACCCCCTCTCCATTTCAATCAAGAGGCTGTGGGGTAGACATGGTAGACGGAATATGCAACAACATTTGAATACATGTTTTGCTGTATACTTGTCATTTTTTGGGTGGGGGGGGCGGGCTTGCGGGAAGCACCTCACCCTACGGAACAGGGGCAGGCAGCCAAAGACTTGTGAGGTTGACCTCCTCTCACTTTTTGGCTTCGTTGGCTTATAGCTTCGTTGACTTACCAAGCTTTCTAAGGGTGAGAGTACATTCCCCCTTTTGGGGAGAGGGGGAAGGCCTTCGGGTTCATTTGCCCAGGGGGTATATAAAAGGGGTACGCCCAGGTTATGTAAAAGGGGTACGTACAAGCAGCCCTGGAAGCTTACTTTCGAAGGGTTTTCACATGTACTCTACGCTCGTCATACAATCCCTTGTTTTCCTCGTGGAGTTCGAATACACGTGGTATAGGGTGATAGCTTAGTCCGTGGAGTTCGCTTTTGCTTGGGACCGGGTTCGTTGTGCATGATGTGTTGAACCTATCTCTCTTTTCTTGTGTATGTTATGTGCTGGTCTTTGAGTCCTTGACACAGAGTCAAGAGAATGTAGGATCACGACTGGTCCGCACTATTAACCACTTTTGGACCATATTTGATCCTTATAAAGAAAGTGTAGTTTAGACGGTACAGGTCCTCGTTCCCCACCTATGCAGTGCGTGGTGTTTTGTGTATTGAGTTGCTTCTTGCTTATGATTGAATCCAGATTGCAACATCCTACTTCATGAACCGCGTCAAGCAAGCTTCAGCACTCTGAGCACGTGTACCGGACAAGGCAAGACATAGCCATTACTTCTTGATTGCGCTTCTTTCACCTTTTAAAGCATGAATACAGGAAAGCTACAAAAAACATGGACGTCTTCGCTCCCCAGAAAACTGATTGCGGCAGGGCAATGTGCTCACTACGGGCTGCTTCACCAAAGTCAAAGAGAGACATTGGGGTAATCTTCCACTTGCTTAAGAATATTTTTATTTTCCCCTGTTGGTTTTCAAGGGATTCTATCACTACTGGACATATGTTTTTGTTTTTTTTTTCCCAGGGGGCTTAAGCAAATGGCAGTAATTCAGTAGGGCCGGGGGTTTGCTGTTCAGTGGCTGCAAGTACCGTCTAGGTCCTCCAGTAGTGCCCTTTGACCGTTTCTTTTTTGGGGGAGGGTTCCCCCAGTAAAATAGACTACAAAAAAAAGGGTACCCTTATTCTAACCTTTCTATTGGAGGACTTAGACACAGTTGGGCAACAACGGATTGGGAAGATGTTGCTTTCGCACATTCATCTTTTTCTCCGCACTGATTTCCACAGTTTTGCCGCAGCAAGGTAGCCAACGGAGAGAGACGCATCTCAGCGATTTGTTTCTTGCCTTCCAAGGATTTTGATGCAGAAGGATGTTCGACATCTCTCCTCCACGGTGCAGCCACCCGGCCAAGATGCTTCTATTGTCTAAGGGTCCGACCCGAGGATGTAGGTTTCGTTTAGCCCCCAATCTAGGGTTTGACTCCTTGTCCATTCTTTTCAACCACCGGCTTTTCAATAACTAGCTGTTTCCCCACTTTTTTTAGATGGTTTCCTGAAAAGAAGGATCCTGGAAAGAATGGGGGAAGCTTCACCTAGACCAAGGGATATTACATTCCCCAAGGAATAGGTTTTGCTCTACCCAGAAAGGTGAAGCATAGTTGTGAATGCATGCAAGGCGAGCAAAACCAAGGGTACCAAACCCAAAAAATGGCCGAGATGGGGATGGGACGACCCGAGAACAAAGGCCCGGATCCTTCAGATTTTGAGTCCTCTTCGTGGAGGGGGTTGGAATTCCTTTGTGAATCATGTGTTGAGGGAAATGGGTATAACCCTCTTGGTTTGACACGGAGATCAACAGGAAAACCACCATGTTTGGGGATCTCCCAAGAAAAGGCGCACGCGTATTTTATGAAGCATTTTCATGGCGACACTACAGAGAGAACCCGCCAGAACCCCAAGCAGCTTGGTGATGTCCAAGCTACTCGCAGAAACGTCAAAACCACAGCTCGGTAAAGTTTCCGGTAACGAGATAACAAAGAAGGTCTCCAGAAAAAAACGGTCAATTAAACTGTGAAGAGGGCCTTCTTACAACCTCTTTGCGTCTTGCGGTTTCAAGGCAGCCACATTGCGTTGACGTGTTTGGCGCTGAAGGTACCTCACCGACGCGCTGGAGAAATCCAAGGTTATCCCCAAAAGAGATTCTCTCAAGCCGAAAATCAAGAAGAGCAGACGCTCTCGGATTGATGATGAGCTTGTGCCGCT